TTTTTTATCCGCCATCTCTATCTTTCTGTCGTCGCTCGGCTCGGCTAATGTCCGTCCTGTGCACTGAGCGCTCTCTCGTCCCCATCATGAGTAGAAACGCCCCTTACTGCTGATCGGCTACAAGTTTGTTTTGGTACTCGGCCCTACTCAGTTTTCTAAAGCGTTTTTGAAAAAATACATACCCCACCTTTAAATCAAGTCAGGTCTGTACTGTTGCAGTTTGCCTCAGCTATTTTCAGATTTAGATAAAACATTTGCACTACCATTGAAAAGTTTGAGGTCAGAAGATTTTTGTTAATGCTTTTATTTAGGAAGGATACATTAAATTGACAGAGTGACCGTAAAGATATTTATAATGTTACAAAATATTTCCATTCCTAATAAATGCTATTCTTTTTAACTTTCTATTCTTCAAAGAATCCTGAAAAAATGTATCACAGTTTCCACAAAAATATTAAGCAACACAAATGGTTTCAACATTGATAATAAGAAGAAATGTTTCTTGAGTGCCACATCAGAAGCGATATTAATGATTTCTGAAGGATCATGTGACAGGAGTAGACTGGAGTAATGGCTGCTGCTAATTCAGCTTTGCTATCACAGAAATACATTTTAAAATATATTAAAATAAAAAGTTACTTAATTTTTTTTAACTGCATTTTTGTTTGAAAAAAGTAGACTTTGTGGGCATAAGAGACTTTTTTCAAATACTTAAAAAAAATCCTACTTGCTCCAAACTTTAATCGTTTTGCTTTTGAAGTATAGCTCTGCAGTACAGCTATCCTTGTATTTTTAGCTGGTGTAGAAGAAAGGTTTTTAGTGTAGGAAACATATTTTAGTTTTAAAAGGGAAACATGTAATTGCTGCACCATTAGAATTGCAAATTTTCTTTCATTGTTCAGACTAACGTCCTGCCCCACTCTCTCACCGATGATACAGAAGTTGATATGTCACACTGTTTAGATGGTATTTTGAATGCCACAGTATTACCTGAGAATGGATTACGTAGTTTTCTCAGCATGTTGACTTACTTTCTGTATGCTCTCTCTTTTTCTTTTTACGGACTGTAATTGTGTGTGTGTGTGTGTGTGTGTGTGTGTGTGTGTTTTTTCTGGTTATATAAACCGATCACTTCTGCTGTTCATAAGAGGAGATGAGACAATAGCTTTGCAGGGGGTCAGAACATGGAATGGGATTTCCTCTGTATTTCACTCAAATCCAGATGGATTTAAATGGTCATCCTCCCCATTTTTACACCGTTGGATCAGAAAAGTTCAGTGAACTCGATAGGTTGCGTGGTGTTATTTCAGTTTATGATTAACCTGTGGATTGCAGATCCCATTTGTCTCATAGAACAAGCATAAGATGGTAAAAAGTCTAGATACACTGTTTAAAACAAACCAAAAAGTATAAATCGCACTGAAATAAAAACTTAAATTCTTGTATAGTTCATGAAAGTTCATGAAACAATGTTTCTTTTTGATGAGAAAACAGATCAGTGAGCGGATTTGTTGACATTTGGGTGGCTTATGTCAGGATTTCATTCTCCAAAGTTCAAGTTTAAAAAACAAGAACCCCTTTAAAGGAAGTAATGAAACTGAATTGTTGGTTGACAGTAAACAGGTGCCTCTAACCTCTCCTGCTCTCTTGTAAGCAGAAGCTCGGATTGCTGGAGGAATAGCAGGTATGCGATTCGAGGAAAATGCCAGGGCATTTTCCACAATTAGGCCCCGCGCTGCTGGTTCTGGAGTTGGTGTGCCCTGGCAAGAGTACAGAGCACTTCCATCTTGGAATGGACTCTTGGAATTAATAGCCTACTGTTGACATACCAGACAAGGAGGGGCCTATTAACCTCTTAGTGGATTAAAATGTTATTTTTAAACCAGGAGATTCTCATAGACGGTCCTCGTAGAAAATGGTCTCCTCAACTCGCTCCCTATAAATGTCCCCTTTTCTGAGAAAGCAGCGATGCAAAACACCATGATCTGTTTGTAAGTGTATTTTGACCCAGCACATTTGTGTTTTTAAAACATCATTCAGATTCAGTCTTCCATGAAAAGCTGCCTGTGTAAAGAAAAAAACTTTTAATATCTGCATGCGAGTCAGATTGTGCCTGGACTGATTGTGTTTGTTCTGATCTGCTGAAGCATTTAGCAAAACCCAAAATGTTTCTCTGAAGCGTGTAGAGCGTATGATGACCAATCATAGATCAAGTCCTAAAATTGTAAAGAACACGAGAAGTTTTCCATTTAAAATGTATGCTTACCCACCCTCATGTTCTTTCAAACCTCTATGAGTTTTTTCTTAGCGGAGCACAAAGTGTTTTGAAGATTGTCTTGTGATTTTTTTTTTTTTTTTTCGTAAGTACCAGTGTTTTTTAAAACACATTGACTTAATTGTGAGGTCAAAAACAGTAGAAACATTCTTCAAAATATCACCTTTTGTGTTCCACAGATGAAAGTCACACAGAAGAACATGAAAATTTTATAATTTTATTCATTTTTGTGTGAACCATCCCTTTTAAGTACCTAAAGACTTTGAGACAGCTTATTGAATAAGATGTGATCATTGCCCGTTTGCATGTTACATAATTCAACATTTCAGATGATTCAGCTCTTGCACATGGTGTTAAATCGAGCTGTTCGTGACAGATCTGATTGAACCGGTAGAGTTGACAGGACGAGTGCCATGTTTGCTGTTGCAGAACTTGTGAAAATCACACAGGAATCATCAAAGGGATTCACAGGCTGCTGTGAATCTGAGATGATGCATAATGCTAAAGCTTTATAGAGCACCATCTGCTGGTGGTGACTGGAGTCATTTATTTCCCTTTAATTTGTTCCCTTTTATCTTATCTGCTAGTATTTTGTGTCTCTCTATACGAATGTTTCCCTTTCAATTTGAAATATAGTAACGTACAGACACATTGTAATCTGTAGCGATAATAGATGTGAACTCATCCTCCTGTTTCTCTCCCTCAGGATTGGCCTTTCGATGACGGCGCACCTCCTCCTACCAAGATCGTGGATGACTGGCTTAGTCTGCTGAAGAATAAGTTCTGTGAGGATCCAGGCTGCTGTGTGGCTGTGCATTGTGTGGCCGGACTGGGCCGGTGAGTGTCAAGTCATCCTGTTGTTCCAGACGTGCTGCTAACGCCAAAGCTAAAGCCATCTGTATGATATGTTAAGAATTTAACACAACTTTATTAAACCAGTGCAGTGCCCACACTGAATTGATGTTTTTTTTTTGCACTAATATTCCACAGTGGAATTATATGGCAACTCAAAACAAGTCTATTTTGGTAGTGACTATTTTTGCTAAAATATCACCTTTTTGTCGATTACACTGTAATGTAAATGATGATTCTGATTGGAAATTGGGTAAAAAAATCAGCCTAGTAAGTATAATTATACTAGTATAATTATTAAATTATAATTACAAGGATTGAGAGATATATAGACTATTGTAACAATGGCCATTCAAACCAGTGTTGTTATTGTTAACTAAAATTTATCTATTTAATTGTTTACATAATTTAAATTGAAAAATGTAAACTGAAGTTTAAGATGAAGTATTAAAATTACTGGAGATAAAATTAAAATAAACAGAAGCTAAATAGAAGTATTTAAAAAAATCAAATGACATGTACAAAATTATTAAATTAAAATGCAAACAGAAAATATTCAAAAATCTAGTTCTAAATATTAATAGTGCAGAAATAATACTGAAATCGAATTGGTTCAAATAAAAATCTGCTGAGCTTTTTTACAGTATTCTGCAGGCGCAGATTCCATGTAGTCCTAGTAATTTCCCAGCCTGCTGTTGTTGCTGTTCAGAAGTTGTAGACGTGCAAATGCTCATCTGAATTTGATGGGTCAGGCTTTATGTGACTCGCTTCTCTCTTACAAGAATTCTCAAACATATCAACAGCCTTTCCCAGGATCTGTTGCTCTTTTTCCCTCAGAATGCAATCAAGGACTGTGTGTAATATCTCTGGCAGAGCTTTAAGCTGGCTCGTGATAGTGTAGTGTTTGAGTTCTGCTGTTTACATTTGGTTTCTCATCATTTTTTTTTTTTTTTTGCTTTACCCCAAATTCCCCTCAGCGACAGGCCTCTCAGTCTTGGCCCGTGCTCTCTGCAGGTCAAACCCATTCTCCCTGCCTGACCGCTGTGTGCCAAAACCAACCGTCCAAACGGACACACAATATTAATCCAAGTTTATTATTCGAAGCACAAAAGGTTGACGTCCGAAGACGAAACAGGAAGTGAATGATAAGCAGCTCTCTTAATTGCTCCTTCATATCTCTTTTCAGTGAGGGATCCTGGTGTAGTCACGGTGTTGCCCTCTTATCTGGCCAGCTGTCAAAACACACAGACCTTAATTAAGCTGCGGCGCTAGAATTGTTGAGCCAGACGGTCAAATGTGGCGGTTCTGCGGGAACGGTAGGCTAATGACAGTCCGGTTTACCCTGCCTGCCCTCCTCCCACTTTGACCCCTGACCGCTTCTGCCGACAAGTTAAGCACCAAACCTCTCTGACGTAGGTTGCAGCTCCTGTGGGAGCCCTCAGCAGTTTTTGACAGGGAGCCAGTGTTTGCTTTAGTAGGATGAGTTTGTGTTGTTACGCATTGGAAAGGGGCACACTCAGGAGACTTCAAAGCTGTCAGGACCCCGATGCGCAAACGGTAAAAATAGAAAAGGTCTCTGACGGGGGCTGACACACTGTAAAAATCAAAATGTATTGTATTTTAGTAAATCTGGGATTAGCACGTAATGACATTTAGGGCTTTTTCCAAAAATAAAATGACATTCATGATCTGACTGCTCTGTAAATGATTAGAATGATAGCTTAAAATTCATTGCCATCCAAATGAAATGACATTAAATGGATAGTCCACCCAAAAGTGAACATTTTGTCATTTACTCACGCCCTCATGTCTTTCCAAACCTGGATGACTTGCTTTCTTCTTCAGAACATGAAATATATATGTATAAATATATATATTTTAATAATGTTGGTAACCAAACAGTTTTGTTTCCCATTGGCTACCACTGTATAGACAAAAAATACAGTTTAAGTAAAAAAAAAAAAGGGGGGAACCAACATTGTTTGGTTACCAACATTTTTCAGTATACCTTCTTAAATGTTCCACTTAAGAAAGAATACAGGTTTGGAACAACATGAGGTTTGAATACTTTGACAGAAGTTTGATGTTTGGGTGAATTATCCTTTTGTCATCTACTCACCCTCATGTCATTCTAAACCTGTGTGACTTTCGTTCACACAAAAAGAAAAATATTGAAGAATGTATTGTTTTATCAACACTTCCTTTTGAATATGAATTGGTATTTGGGCTATGAGGGTCTATATTAAGTCTTGACGTCATATAGTAGCTTTTTGTGATAAACAGACTATAAGGTAAGCTGTAGAGTAATGCATCTTTCTACTCAAAAAAATATATATACTGTAACTGCAGATCTGTTCTCACATGCATTAGGTGGTATCCTTGCTGAGAAGGGCTGAATGGGTCACTTTTCCTGGAAAACCTATTGTTTCTGTGCACACACAAAAGCTGTTTGAGGTGATGTTTCCTGATATTAAACTGTGTGTGTGTGTGTGTGTGTGTGTGTTGCAGGGCTCCAGTGCTGGTGGCTCTGGCACTTATAGAGAGCGGAATGAAATATGAGGACGCCATTCAGTTGATCAGACAGTAAGTATACATTACAGCTAACAATACATTACCAACACCTTGCAGCAGAGCGATACAACACCCAGTCAATACAGTGAGCGATTCAGTGCAAGCACAGTAAATGATGCAGCACTGATACATGACAGATTGTGCAGCATTAATGCATTACAGCTAATTATACAGCACAAACAAATTAGAGCAAATTATGCAGTCAAGAAATGATGAATACAGTTTGCACTGATGCCACTATGAAATATAACAATAGCACACAATAGCGCTAATGCATTACAGAAAACAATTCAGCAAAAAATAAAATGCTTACATTAATAATTATAATACTGCTTAAATTAATGATTAACGTATAAACAAACATACCTATATTTTCATTTAATTTAAGCCATTAAAACAAATAGTGTATATTACTAAAAACATTTATTTATATATTATATATTCAGTTTTGTGTATATATTGTTTAAAATATATATTAATAATTTTATGTAGCTCTTAATATTTAACATATTTATGTCTATATAGTGCTTTTCATTTATGTATTTAACAAACATTTAACTTAAGCCATTAATTTAAATGCAAATATTTTGTGTGCATATTTCTAAAAATATTATATATATATATTATATATCGCATATATATATATATATATATATGCACGTCTGTTCTATATATGTAGCATGTGTATATTAGGGCTGTGCGATTAATCGAAATCGAATCGAAATCGCGATTTGAGACGTTGCGATTTCCTAATCGCAAAGCCTGCGATGTGGACGCGATCGATCTCTGTTCAATTTCACTTGGATGAAATGAAACATTCAGCACATTTTCCACTTGTTCTTAAAATCCCAAATACTTAAAATGAATAAATCAGCCTATGTAACATATGTAATACTTTAATAATTGACTTAAGAAATACAGTTCTTTATTTATAAAAAATAAACAAATATTTTCTGTGAAATTCAGTAATTAAGTTAATTCTGTAAAAGTAGTTATACCATTATAATCTTGCCTGCTGAAGAAAAAAACAATAGAACCCCTCCCAAAACACAATAAAAATTTTTTATGGATTTCAGGGTTATAATGGGAATTGTATTGGTTTTAATGTAAACTGTAATGGTGTCTATTTGATGGATTCTATTGGTGGATGTAATCTGGCAGATGGTAACCAATAGAACAACAGTAATTCCTATTGGAATAATGCCCAAAACAAAAAGGAATTTTGTAATGGTTTAATGGAAACTATAAGAATTTCTGTGATAGTTTCTATTGTTTTTTTCAGCAGGGTAATGATACCCATACTGTGCTGCACATTATTGACAATATTGAGCTGAAGCTTGACTTTGCAAATTTAAAATCGCAAATCAAATCGCAATCGCAATATCTGTCAAAAAAAATCGCAATTTGATATTTTACCCCAAATCGCACAGCCCTAGTGTATATGTGTGTTTAACATTAATTATAATTTTTGTTAATTAAAAAGAAAACTTATAAATTTATTATTATTGGCTTAAGGTTTTACATATATCTTAATTGTGTATGTGCATATTATTATTATTTATTTATTTTTTAAATCATTGATTTAAAAAACTAACATAACCAATGGGTATTTGTTGTTTTTTTCCCCCCACAGGAAACGCCGGGGCGCCATCAACAGCAAGCAGCTGACGTACCTGGAGAAGTACCGCCCCAAACAGAGACTGCGTTTCAAAGACCCACACAACCACAAAAGCAAGTGCTGCCTCATGTGATCCGGTCTCACCAGCCTGCCACTGAAGGAACCAGTCACTCATGGACTAAACCAGACTAAAATTACCAATCTAGTGCATTTGAACTCTTGCTACAATTCAGGAGGGGAATTCAACCCCCTTTTGGTGTATATGTCAGACCCCTGCACACAGGGTCTTTACCAGCTCAGGGCTGTGAAAGACGAGCCTCTTGAATTTTGTCTTTTCACACAAACCCCCCATCCTCACTGTGTTTACAAATTTATTGTGAACACAAACATATGCCCGATGCACAAACTCATGCTACCAGCCGTCACACTTTACCCGCAGCACACAGTCCAAAGATGATCATGGCCACCAGCCACCTGCTCAGAACTCAATCACTGTTGTTATGCTCACGCTTTCGTATGAAACTGCTTGACTACCCTGTTCTTTCTTTTTTGTAATTCTGAAGTTTCAGAATGCATGTCGCTGTACTTTTTTGAAGATGCATGTGAGTGGTCTAACCTAGCTTTTTTTTTTTTTGTATCATGAATCTACTCTGGGTTTCAAGTTTTTTGCACCACTGGCTGCTTATTAATAGAACTGTGGGCGTCTGGATGGATAACATGGCACACTTTGACATGACTTCCAGGTTTTTGGATATTTTAGCTGCTTCGAAATCATGTTGAAACTCAAAGAAATCCAGCTAATCTGATACACCTCTACCACAGAATTGCAGCAGTGAACTGAGAGAAATCCACGAGTGTGCACAATTGTAGATCAGTAGTTCTGTTTTAATTTAACACAGCAGCCACAAGAGGGAGTCATCACACTATGTATTTCACATGAAAAATATTTTTGGACTTGCCAGAGTTTTATTTTTTATTTTTTTGCTGTTTGCACTCAGTGCTCATGCGTGGCTGTTTCTCACGGACATAGTTGTACTGTGGGACACTTACTGTGGAATTTCAGAAGGAACTTTTCGAAGTGAGGCCTAAAATATTTAGTCTTGTCCATATAGTAGGAAATTAAATGGAATCACAGGATCTCTGCCTAACTAGTGGTCATATAGACACTAATGAAGGAAAAAAGGTAATCTATGTCAGGTACTGAAGTGATCGCACATGCATCATTAATCTGCTAATATGAAATGCATAAGACCTTGGATCTGGGATAATGACGTATTTCTCTGCCTTTGAAATCCAAAGCAAAAGCTAGTGAAGGAAATATCTAATAAAAGAGTATCTTTGCATAATTGCGACTGTGAGAAGGATAAGAAAATACTTGTTTCACATTTCATGGATTAAGGTTACATTTGGCCTCTCATGTTTATTTACAGAAGCAATGGCTGGAGAATGGGCATATTTTAAAGCTGAGCTCACTCCAATTTAGAGCTGAACTTTAAGACGGGATCAAGTGTATCAAGTTTGCATTTCTGGTTTTGACACTTACAGTGAATACCATTTAAATAAAGGGGTGTGAATTAAGCAGCTCAATGTTGCTCACATATATAAGGGCTTCTCTTTCACGTGCTGTTTAGTCACTTTTATTACTGTTGAGTGTCTGCATTTACAAATCTGGAATGTTTTGATGAGTTGTGGCCTCAATAAATGTAATAGTTCATCTTGGAATGTCTCTGGAAACCGATGCGATCAGCAAAAGAATAAGGTAACATTTTCAGGAATATATTTAGATATCATCACTAGCCCTGCTTTTGTGATGAAGGATGGTGCAAGACTACACGCCACGTCTCAAGTTTATCCTGACCTCATTCATTTCATCATCCATGAGAATGTTCTTGATTTTTGTTTTGAGTTCCTGATTTTTGAATAAACCAACAGAGCTGAAGTCATTACCCTTGACACTGGATGATATAGTGTCAGTATTTAAAAATCATGGGTGGTATCTGTAACTATACACTATTACTCTATAGTAAGGTTCACTGATCCACTGGTTTCCTGATCATATCTAAAGTGGCCTATTTTTGACAATAACATATTATTGTATTACACGTTTTATTAAACAGTGATACATAATTAATAATCTATTGTTCCCTGTTCATATCTAAAGTGATTGACATAATTGTATTATTCATAATTTTTATGCCAAACAAAAAAAAGTTAATTGATGTACATATTGCTCTTTTATGAAATTGGGACAGATGTTAAATCTGAAATCTGGATTCATTAAAAATGAATAAAAACCTGTTTTTTCTCACGAGCGTGTACCAGTCGTTAACTTGTTATTGATGTACAATGTATTTTATAAAACAGAATTGTTACTGTTTTTATGGTAACAAGTAATCAGAAAATCTACCAATGAAGGATTAATGATCAAGAAAATGGGGGGGAAAAAATATTATTTAGAGGTATAAAGGGTGCATATTGTAATCCTTGCATCAGTTTAGATTTGAATTAAATTGGACAGTTACTCTAGTACAGTGATCTTGTAGTCTTCTAGTAGTCTTGAAGACAATGATTAGCTGGTTCAGGTGTGTTTGATTAGGGTTGGAGCTAAACTCTGAAGGAAAGTGGCCTGGAAGGGCCAAGTTTTCCCACCCCTGCTCTAGTTAGTACAATGTCTCTCCTTAAGAACTTTCCTATTTAGCTCCATCAGAGTTGCCAAGTCCGCGTATTATACGCAAGTTTGGGCTTTTTCTTTTGTAAAGTTGCGTGAAAAAATCCCGGGTCGCGGGTTGCGGTTTTTTGGGTTTATTTAAAAAAAATATGTTTGCTTGTTAGGAAAACCTGACAAGCAACTTCGTTTCTTTTCATTTATGTTCACTGTATTCTCCATAAAAACAAGTAGGCCTATACAAATACTAGGAGTAGATTTGGTTCGAATAGCCAATATTTTAGTAGGCTATAAATATGTGGCTATGTTACAGCTCCCCTTTGAAGCTCTAGTGCAGGGCTCCTCAAATCTTGCCCAGGAGGGCCAATGCGCTGCAGAGTTTAGCTCCAACCCTGATCAAACTCACCTACCTGTGATTTTCTAAATAAATTATCAAAAAATATTAGGCTTGTTTTGGGCTTGTTTTTGAAGCTGCGGTTGCTTATTTGTCTCGCGAGAGTTGGCAACAGTGAGCTCCATCTGTTTTGTAATGGCAACAGGTTTTCCCAGTTCCTTCAACTGACCTTAAATGGTGTCATCATCACCATGCTTGAAGGTAATAAAAAGGCTTTATGTCTACTAAAACCAAGTATAAAGAATTTTATGAAATCTCTCTCTCTCTGTATGGAAGGAACTGATTTTTATTGTACAATCATACAACTGAGTACAGGCTGAATTGAAATGAACAGGTACTAGAAACAGTAGTAACATTTTATTGTGGTTGTTCAAAATTGCTCTGTTTTAAACAAATTTGATGAATATTCAAATTTGCAGAAAACTAAACACTAAAATTAGAAAACCTCTAAATTTGGAAGATCTGCACAGATTTGACGCTGAAACAAACAAGCAGGGGAAAATAAAAGCAGAAATACTTTTTGGGAAATATTATGCCTATGTAGCCAATGCAAAAATAGCCTAATTAAGTAAATAATTAATTAATAATAATAATAATACAGAAAAAGAAATTAACTAATAAAATAACAATAAAACAGTATATTTCTATCTGTCTGTATAGACATGACATGTACAGATACATACACGATGTTTATGCAACATATTATGGAAACCGGTCTGTCTGTGTGTCTGCGCGTTCTCTCTTTCTGACCGTGTCTAAAAACCTAGTGAGCTCCCTACGTAGAAAGCATCGTTAGACATCACATGCGCGTTCCGAAGGTTTTTTTT